GTCTCGTGGTAATTTAACAAACGTACTTTGACTTATAAGTTGATTTGTGCGTTTCAACTCAGTATATTCCCCTTTTAGCGATGAAATCTGACAGCTTTTTCGTAGCTGTTATCGCCAGCGTTGTTTCAGCTGATAGTTGGTTTCAAAAGTAGTCGATACCAACAAATGATAGAGCATTTTTTTTTTTCAAATTTCAGAAATCAAAGAAGCAACCAACAGAGGCTGAAAAAGTAATTGCCAGCTTGGAGAAGGAGGCAAAGGAAGAGGAAGAACGGCAGAAGGTTGGGCGCACTTATCGCTTGTTGACACAGGATATCCAGTTTTGTGTTTTTATGATCGAAAAGCATGGTGACGATTATGAGGTACGAATTTTTCCTGGTATTTGTGGTTGTAAATTTGCCCTAGGTTCGTACTATTCCAGCTCATTCTTCGCAAGCGCTTCTGAAAAAACTATTTTTAAAATTGTCAATGGATGCCAAAGGCACAGTGCTATCATTTGGGCTCCTCTGAGTGTTTCTTTTTTTAACCAAAAGGGCTTGGTTTGGTACTTCTTGAGGCACTGAAACATTAGTTTTTTATGTTACCGAAGCTAAAAATGTCATGCTAGGCCTTGTCTTGCCAGCCTTTACCTTTCACTGAATGGGCCGTTGTTCCTGCCCCTTAATTACAAACCTTTTCCCTTCGCTTACAGGGCCTTTACGACCCGTACTGCCTTTTATTTACCTGCCTTCAGTTTCTTCCCCAATTTCCGCGCTTTCTGAACAGACCGTCCCTTCGATTTCCACTTTAATGGTCTTCTTCGTTTTCGCTTGTCCAGCCCAGTTCAGTTCTTTTAATTTTGTACACATTTTTAATTCAATTTTAATTCAGACCATGCACTGTTTTGAGTTAGATACGTTATAGAGTCTGGTAGAACCAGTCTTTCCCATGATTCTTTAATTCGTTTTGATGATGAGTTGGTGCTGGCATATGCCAAGGAGGCAAACCATTTGCTTGCAAGTAACCCGTGAAAGAGGGTGCCATCGATAGCCTTGTTAGAGTGTGGTTACTTATGGCATTTATTATCACTCGGGCTACTCTCCGGGTGCCCCAGCCCCTCATATAGAGCAAATACGGAGAGGATTTTGACTTTTGACAAAACTTTTTTACTGCTTCTTACAATTGTAGGCAATGAGCCGCGATGCGAAGAATATCTACCAGAATACCGCAAAGCAAATACAACGGAAAATCCGGATATTCAAGCAAAGCCCAGAGTACCCGAAATATCTTGCCCTGGCAGAAAAGATGCAGTAGTTTTGTTACATCGCTGAGGAAATTGTGGTGTGATCTAACTTTTGAAAAATGTTTACATTTATACCCGCTAGCTTTTTGGCAGCCTTGTTGCTGGCGGATTTTGCCGAGAAATGCTCTCTGACCAAATTCGAGTATTTTTTTTTTTTTTTTTGCAAAATTTATTGCGTTATTTGGAATACGAAAAGAAGAGAGGGGTTGATTTCGGAGTAAAATTTGAATAATTAGTAGCGTAGAATGTGCTGGGACTTTTTTGACGTAAACACTAAATTTCAAAAAATACAGCATCAGTTTAAGATCGCAGATTTTACCTGTTTTTGCGTACCACACAAATTTATTTTTGACTAGATTTTGAACAAATGCACTCTTTAAGTAAAAGAAATTTTGTCTTTTTAAATGGTTTATACTTTTTGCGTAAATTTTCCATTTTCGCGTTGTTTTTGTTGTTTTTTTAAAGATAAAATTTTTATTCAACAAAAAGTTTCACAGTTTCAAATCTTCACATTTTGTACATTTATAATTACATCATTTAAAATTAGCACTGTGAAAGCATACAGGCATGGCCAATGAAAAGAGAATGTTGGCAGGAGGATTGGAACAAATAAATAGAGATGTGAAGACTAATTTGCCTCATTTTCGTGTATTTAAGGCGAAGAAAGTCCAATACTGATAAAAATATTCTTCAATAAGTACACTTCCAAAATACTTTGAAAAAAACCTCTCGTTTCCGGGAAATGATGAGCTGGTGGTTCGCGAAATGCCTAATTTATAAGCATAAAGCAGTTCGCTGAGTTCCACTGTATAATACATGTTACACATAAATTTCGGAAATACGTATAAATTACACGACTATATCTTGTAATGGCGGTCCGTTTATGTGACGGAATTCCGGGTAAATTACTTTAAAATAGGAGAGGCACCTCTTAAGAGGTATGCAGAGCTCAGTGCGCATGTACAGATAAAGTAGAACTACAATAAATAATGCTTAATGAGAGGAAATTACAGGAATAACAAGTTCGGAGAATGGCGCACCAGATTAATTTTTCCCCAAAAGCTAAATTTGACAATGGATATTTCCTTGGATTTCCCTGCCGTCAGAATTCCGGATGGAACAAGGTGTCCCGGAAAGGAAAAACGATCGGATCCTAAGAGAACCGACTTCTTTTCGCGCCTAACTTGATTCCATCTTTGTTGATTTATCGCTCTTCAAAAAATCTCGACACCTCAATGAATACGACAACTCGTATATCGTCCAAATTTTCATTTATCCGGGCCAGTTTGGTATTATATAAGTGCAAAAGTGGACTGGCAATTTTTTTTCCATTCGCTGCTGGAGAGCAGTAGTAGAGCGATAGCTAGCTTTTTGGACTTTTCTAGAAGACAAGACTGTTGCCTCCTCCAGGGCCGCAGTGCCTCGCAATTGTCGCAGCTTGCTGAAGCAAACATTTACCTCATCTGCAGTTTAGCCTCTACGACAAATAGAACCCCTCACTGT